GCTCCCAGGCAGAAACACGACTACTGTGAGGCCACGCTGTGTCACTGATGGGGTCTGCTGGACGCCACTGACAGCTTCCCTTGAGTTTTTGCAGTTCTACCATATCTGCTGCAAAAGCCAGCATGTGCCTCCCAGCCTCCTGGCAAATGTCTTCCATGTCACAGGAGAGAAGAACAGAATGTAAATATAAGGTCAATATACATTCTGTGCACCTAGAAATCCTCTGAACGGCAGACTTCTCACTTTCAGTCTCAAATTACTGGAGTGYTCCTGTTCAAACCTTCCATCAAGTGGAGAGAAAGAAACTGTCCKGAGGACTGAACTCATCCATTGAAATAATGAAGTGTTATATGCAAAATGTAAGCTTACTTACCACAGATAATTTTATCTAGGACTGCATGGATTAATAAATCCAACAATTAGTTCATGAGCTTGTTTATGTATGTTTGGGTCACCTATACTTCATAGGATTTCATCAAGTTCATATTTGGCAACTGTGTTGAAGAACTACTGATAGTGGCTAATTCACCATTTTATTTCCTATTCCCTCTATTTCCTCAAATATCTTTCAGTTTTATCAAATCTTCCTTTCCATTTCTGCAGGTAATCTATTTCCTCTATTTCCTCAAATATCCAAGGATAAAAGCATTGTGATTATTAGAAACAAAAAATAATTGCAATGTTTCTTTCATCCTGCTTCATTTGGTTCTGTTTTAGAACCAGGAGGTGGAATTTGAATTGCTGAATGTAACACCCCGCTAATATTCTCCTGAATATGAGAAATTTCACCTGAAGCATGAAGAAATCTCCAGCTATTGCTTTCAAATCATACATAGCATTATAGCATTCCAATRAACATGCTGGATAAGCAAAACAACTCTGAAAAGCTTCAGGAGAAAATCTTTGAGAGGCAGTCAGAAGTACAGAAGGACCCGTAACTTAATAGGAGCTATACAGTATAGATATCAGAAAGTACCTGAAAATCCAAAATACTGTCCTTTTCAGCCTTTAGTTCTTATTTTGCTCTCCTACTMCCATTTCACTTCACCTGCTTCACATATGATAATAACAAGGCTATTCTTAAGTGAAACAAAGTCACCGTGTCCAAGGTCCATGGAGGCTGAGCATCCACTTCCAAACAAACTTTAGAGCACTTGTCCAAATGTGCTAGGAAGAAGTGGCCATTACAAAAGAAAAAAAAAAAAGGTCAATGTGMAAATGGTATCAAAAAACAAATAGACAAAAGTAAGACAAAMTATTCCAGCTCTACAAACTACGAAGGACAGAGAAATGCATACTTTTAYAGTACTTTATCTATCACTCTTCACCAACATTCACAGGACTCCAGTTCTACTGTGAGAGTCTCTTTGGAAAAAAAAGGCAATGACTCTCAAGTTTCTTGCTCTCAGGGTGCATTTTTCCAGCATTTAAAGACAGGAGATCTGAGTACACACATGAAGCATATCTGTTGGAAAAGCATTTTGACAGTGCTACTTCTGACATAAGCTTCATTTCATATGACACTCTCCAGAGAAATAACAGACCTTTCAAGCAGCCAAGTTCATGCCAAAATATTGGAAAACTATACAGTCTTTGTCAGCACTGCCAATATTTTTCTTTCCTAATTTCCCCTTACCCAGCATTTAGAACCTACAAATACTGGAATATATGAACATCAGCATAGTGATGACAGTAGCATATGTCCCCAGGTTTTTTTTTCCCCTTCATTTTTCAATAAAAATGTAACTCAAATGGAGAAATGATGCCCTACCACATAAGGGAACTRATTTTTTTTTTCTGCGTTTAAGCACTTTAAATTTACTAATTTTCTCTAGACAGATTCACAACAGGAGTAAGGTTGGAAAGGCTTTTTGGAGATCATCTAGGCCACCCCAAGCAGGGTCACCTAGAACACATGGCACCGGGTCACATTCAGGTGGGTTTCAAACAATTCCAGAGAAGGAGACTCTGCAGCCTCTGGAACCTGTCCCAGAGCTCTGCCATGCTCATAGGGCACCTCTAGACACCTCTGTTAGACATGTGGAGAAGCTCCGCAGTCCTGGGGAGCTGCTTTTGGGAGTGCTGCTTAGGAGAGATGTTCCTCACCTGTGCAGGCCAGCACTGCAAGTGGTGAAGGGCTGTGCAGAGAGGTTATGTTCTGTGATCGGCTTGGAGGGCACAAGGGCAGTTCCCCAAGATTTTATGCATCTGTCTTCTTAGTGCACTGTTACAGGTAGTCCTGGACACCYGGTTGCTGCCTTTTGTCTTCTGACAATCACATGCCACTAAATTTCCTTTAATCAGTTCTTAGCTTCGTGAACTCAATCAGAAAACTCCTAAATGTGCCATTTGGGGGATTTCTTTGGAAGATGAGTATTTCTTTGCTGGTGCAAAAATATGGCTCACATCTTCCCACCTCACAGGCACAAGTTGTCTCCACCCTGCCACTTCAAAGCTTGTAGCTAAGATACCCCTTTTTTTTTCCTCCTCCAAAGACTGGCACCTGTTAATGAAGAAGAATTGCTAGACAAGGAGATAAGGCATAGAGTGGAAAGTGCTCACTTTTCCCTGGAGCTGACATACGAGAGGATCTTGTTAAGCTGGAAAACAGGAAGATGAAAAGCCCTCTTACTGCTGAAAAGTACAAAAAAAAAAAAGCATCCTGAATCTATCATCTATGGACTCAGAATCCCTCTAAAACAAAGAACTTGCAGAACTGAATCCCTCTAAAAACAAAGTTCTCTTTCCCTGAATAAATTCCCACGGTCGCTGACAGGACTATGTATTACATGGCAGTAGAGAAATGAAATATAGCCCACATTTGAGTCAAATGTATGAGAAAGAACTGCAAAACATCACTTAGTTCCAAAGCTAACTAGGAAATAGGCTAGAAGCCTCTAGGAAAGGAAAGGAAAGGAAAAGCAAACCAACCAGCCCCAGTTACCTACCTCTCATGTCACCTTTCTCTTCTATATGCCAAACTGACACAGACTAAACAAAATTGTCAAGGCAATCTGGGAAGAAACACAAGAGCCTGAGGATTCCATGAATCAGATAATTTAGGCAGGGAAATGGATGTAAGTGCTTGTAACACAGTTTTCAGTGCCTGTACCAACTTCTCAACAGATCAGTTCTGGTGGATTCACCAACAGATGCTATGAATTCAGGATACTTTAAAATTTAGAAGAATTTTTTTTTTTTAATAGAACAATCAAAATTAATTAGCTAAAGAGCTCATGCACACGGGGATGCAGAGGCATGCAGMTTTTCTCCCTGGATTTCCAAGCAGAAAGGCAGGTATTTTGGCACATACCAGAGTCCTTTTGTAGTACATGAAAAAAWGAACAGCTTTCCCATAGCTGCAGAAAGTGTTAAGACCATTCCTGGAATCAATACATTTTATGTCTTATGTGCCGTTTTACTATATGAATACACAGAGTTTGCCATGCCACTTTTTTGTGAACAGCAAATCTCTAACCAGATCAAGAAGAGAACTTCCAAAAACAGCTTTGCAACTTCTTTACCATCCTTACCTGTTAACTTGTTTCAGGAGGGATTTTTTTTTTTTTAATCAAAAAAGGCTACTTTTATTTATCTAGAACTGTTTTCAGGTTCTCTGTAATATTCGGAACTAGAAATAAATAAAAAGGGTATTCTTCCAAATATAAAACAATTAAATACGAGAGGCATCACCATCACTAGCATAAACAAAGGATGAAATAGCATCAGTGTCYACAAATTTTAAAGCTCTTATTCCATATTCCAGATCCCGTATTAAACTTAAGCAGCTGGAGCCAGCACACAGATAATGAAATGCCATTCTAGAACCCCATATTTTCTTGAAATGAAGTTACAGTAATGTGCTAATTACTCCACGATAATTTCCATAATTAGAGACTGCTGTTATAAGCACACAACTCTGACTTCACTGCATAATTCATCTGGAGAACTATGTGGGCTGGGAAGGAAAGAGTCTTTACAAAAACATTTACAAACAGCCTTCAGCATTTAAAAAAACAAACCCAATGAGCACTGTCTGATACGCTCTTCATCCTGCAAAACCTCAATTTTTTTGAATCTACTTTCAAAGTCCCTCTTCAAAGTATCAGCAGCGTTCCTGTTTACAAACTTGGCAGAAAACTAATGTTCCTTTATTTTTATGGTAGAACTGATCCATCAGACAAAGAGCTTAAAAAATATTCATACAAATGACCTGTAGGTACTGCAAGTCAAAACCATCCAGGTTGGTTCAATTCAAACTTCAATCAGTGCCCATCAGGGCTTAAATTATTGGCCAGGGAAACGAAAATAAATTTTATACAGCTTTGCGATGAACCTGGAGAAAGGAAAGACTAACTTCACCTCCTAATAAAGCGAGGAAAGAGCAGGCCACACTGTTGCCTGCACCAGTCGGCTGCCAGCTGCTTCCCAGCACCAAGTGACATTACACGCATATTCCATGAACAAGGTACATCAGATTCTTCCATGGCATCCCTCTACCTGATGTCATTGCATCTGGAATTTGTCCCCTCACAGCCACTGAACCCTGCACGAGAACCAGGAAGCAGAGTTGGAAGCCAAAGTTCACCGACCTGTCCCTGTGTTACACACCTGGAATTTACCACTGCTGTTTCTACCCAAAGYGAGGCAAACCCAGCCCTGTTCTGGTAACTCCCAATGATCTTGGCAAACAACCTTATAGGACCTTTATGACCTTTTATGACTATTATTCACTTCCAGCGTTGGACATACCCAGATTATAGCACCAAGTTCTTTTGCTCATGGTTTTCACAGCGCAAGGCTCCTAGGCCTCCTTAGAAGTACTAAGCTTACCCTCTGTTCTCCCTGCTACCTTGTTGGCTTTTAGTTAAGTCCAATCTGAAAATAAAAACACTCCAATGAATGACAACTTCATCAAAATTCTCATATGTATTATGTCAGTTACAGTTATGCAATGGCCAAGTATTAGTAAATTCATAGCTAATATTAAATTAAAACTCTGGAAAAAAAAAGTGACAAACAGCTCCATGGCACGTACCATTCTAACCATGGGGATAACGCTTACCCTTTGTCCAGAGGGACAGTGGAAACAGGTATAAATATAGAAAATGTCTCAAAACTGCAAATCTAAGCCTATTTTAATGCTCTAAACTGTCACTGACTTTCACTAAAATTATTCAGATCCAAACATAAGCAATGATTTAGGACATCAATTTATAACTTAATGCTGGTGACCCTGTACCAGTCAGGCTGGCTTGTTTTCTGTACACAAAGCAAACTACACAGTGGCAATATTTCATCACCGGTTTTACAAGAGCATATCGTATGTAAATATATTTTTTAAAGATATACATACACAATTCCCCAAATTCAATAGTAGCTAAGTATTTCGCACCTAGCTTTCAGTAATTTTAAACAAAATAAATACCAAGCTTTTTCTGTTTGGATGCCTTGCTTTGTTTTTCCAGCCTGAATGAGTCTACAAGTATTTTCTTAGTTATACAAGGCCAATGTTTCACTTTGCAAACATTGAAGATGAAGGAACACTTGAAGCTTCAGCACCAGAAGGAAAACAAGGAAGAGTGAAGAGGGTAGCTCCATTTGGAAGCACAGACCTATAACAATTACTGTTCCAGTTTGTTACATGTAGCTCAAAAATCCTTTTATTCTAAGTAGTCCTATTGTTATTGTCAACCGAAGTGATTCTTACATGGGATCGCACCTTCAACACTCCAGACTTGATACAGTCATCCTGAAGAACAGCAACACAAAACAGTTCCCCATAAACATTGGGGAGATCAGAATATTTGTAACCTCTTGCAAAATGTCATGTCAGTTCATGCAAACCTTTGCCTTTTTCCTTAGAAAAAGGAGTGTACTATGCTCAGACTTTGTTCCTGTGATTTTTTTGTTATTGGAGTGTTGACTTCTTGACCTTAACTTTTATTTGTTAGATTGAATGAGGGTGGCGAGAGAGGAGAAGCACCATAATATTAGTTGATTGAACAACATTGCTTGCGATGACACTGATGACTTCCCCTGTTTGTCTCCAGGCTCCCCATACTACCCTCATTTTGCAGCTTTTTTCATATTTTCCAGAGCGCTGTCTTAAGAGTTGTGGGAGTTCCTTCTTTTGAGAGAATAACATTGTTGATTTCCTTTAACTCTTTACTTCCATAGGAAGCAGATACCTGGCAGATTTGCAAGAGAATGCTAAATCAACTATGGAAGTTCTGCACTGTGGCCTGTTTCTGAGAAAGTCGTAGGAGTTCTTCTCTAATTGCTTTTATGAGAGAGGCTGAAGAGTGACCCGGCTGGAGGTCCTCAGTGGAACTGGTGGTGTAGCAAAGGCCCTGGCCCTGAAGGCTGCTGTGTGGCAGCTGAGCAGGGGGGGCCGAAGGCTGCCTGGCTGAAGTCCTCGGCATCTGGAATACTGGTGAGGAGGAATATTCTTGGTGCCCATGCATATGCGTCTGGAAAAAGGTAGAAAACGTTATTGTACTCTGAGCAAATATGATTATCCCAGAAAAGACAAGAAAGCAAAAAGGCAAAAACGGAGGGAAAGCAGCATGGAGATGCTCCTATCTGCTGCCACTGTTCTTTCRTATGAATGAATGATTTCTCTATGGAGCACATACTGCTTGGACTGCCTCAAACTCAAGGATTTTAAAAGTYGCTTTGAATGTTCACAGGAAGTCTGGCCTTCTCCTACTCTCTGATATATTTACTAGGAGAAGGAGGGGAGAAAAAAAAAMCAGAACTGGAATTACACAAGGGGGCTGGCTTCGCTTTCCTTGCCCTGCAATGAACTTCATAAAAGTCATCGGGCAAAACACTCTCTTCCCAGGTGTCATTTCTCAGAATAAGCAGCAGGTGAAAATCATTCAAATCAGAAAGATTAAATTTCTCATACTCTAGAGATGACTTTTACACATTTGAAAAAAAAATCCAATTTATGGACATCACTGTGTAAGTAAAAAGAAATTATTTTTACTTTTGTTCAGTCACTTAGATTCTCTCATGAAACATGAGAGAAATAAAATAGAAACCTGAAATTATGGGCTTGTACAAACAGAGAAAAAACATGTACACTACAATGAAGCATGAAGTTACAGTACACCAAGTGGATGAATTTACAGTACACTAAGTGACTGCATGGACTCCCAGGGTAGACACAAGCCACAGTATGTTCTGAAATCCTAGCTTCCAGGTGAGATCCCTAAAGGAAGTGTTTCTTTTTGGCTGGTATCTGTGAAGGCTGAGATGCAGCCYGAGGGAAACCCGGGACAGAGATGCCACGCAGCTGCCTGGCTGCAGCCTGGTGAAAGTGGCACTGTCCCCTCTCAAAGAGCCTGTGCTGGGGGATGGAGAACAGCAAGTGCCTTAAGAGTTCAGGTCACAGCTATCACCATTTAGTGACACTAACTTCCCCCGCGGGTAAGTGCTAAGTAGCAGAACAGAGGGCAACCTGCCGGGAGGAGAAATGAGAGCAGGGTCAGCTACAAGAGACTTCTGGAGAAAGGGGAAGGGGAATGAAGGTATTAACAGAGGAGAGCCTGGGGAAAATATGGGGGACCTGCTGTGACAGCAGCAAACGAGAAACAAAAAGGCAGGAGAATATGATGCTTTTGGTCTCATAATATGAATGAGAAAACGTCTAAGGCATTTAGTTCACAACTGAACTAATAACACCCTCTGACTCTCCTGCATAGCTCACGTGCAGCACAGATCACTTGCACGTTTAACTTGAGGGGAGAGATAAAGAGGAAAAGACGCTTTAATAGAAAAATAGTTGGTAAAGAAGGTTTTCCAAGTGACATCCGCTCTTATTTCTTACAAAAGGCAGATGATTTCAATATTAGCAAGGAATGAATAGTTCTCTTGATTGCTCCAAATTATTGCACTGAAACCTGAAACTACTTTTCATGTGCAGTCTCGAGTTAGCAAACCTGACAAGTACTCTGTGGTTTTAGAGAGATGATATAAAAAAAATTAAAGCAATTAATTCCTTGACATATGAGCCTAAAGCAGATTAAACTGTGCTCAGGTTACTTTCACATTAAAATACACGATACGATTCAGCTCCTATCTCCTACAGCACTGAGTTAGTACCATAAGMCTGGTTTCCTAGGGGAAGTTGGAAAGAGCATCTGCTGACTCCAGTAGCTGCTTTTTTACATTAGGGATACCTGAACTTTCTTAAATAGCTCATAAAAACAGGAGTGCATATGTTTGTGTTCTAATGCTTAACACTGGAATTAAACAAGCCTCAGTATTTTCAAAAACACAGATCAGTTTAGAAAACTTGTCTGCATAGAACTATAATAGCAAAATCAGTAAAAAGGAAGGAAAATTTTCTGCTTTCTCTTTTTGCATTTCTTTTTAAAAAATATATACCTAAACATATGTATTTACATATATAGCAGCATACACAATTTTATTTAAATTATATTTTTTATATAGAAACTGCAATATGATTAATGGCAATATGAACTAATTGACAGAAATACTTATACTGAATCTTCCTCCAGTTAGAATCCTCCCTTCCTCATAATAAATTCTATTTTGACAGTGAGTAAAAATAATACTTGKTTTTTTTTTAGCATCGTTAATCTTAAGGAAATAAGATTTATAAGATCACAGGRTCTATTTGTTCATCTCCACTTAATTGCTGAATTACCTAGCCAGTTTCAAGTGAAAATGATGTAGGGAGTGATATCAAAGACTGCTCTTCAACACATATTTGTATGTGTATAAGTACATATATATGTATATACACACACACACATTATTTTTAGATGTACAAATAGAAAAATATTTATATATAAACATACACATATATTACAAGCTTCATAAGAAAACAGGCAGCAATTAGATAGAGCCAGAAAAGACATGTCAGGATGTGCCCAGCTGTGCCCGCCAGAGCCCAGAGCCAGGCAGCAGCTCCTTCACGTGCAACAGCAATGGGAAGGGAGAGGCAAGTGGCTGCAGGCTGAGACGGTTTGGGGCAGGGGGAGGAAGCAACACAATAAAAATACAGCAGGAGGGTATGGGTGACTTGAAGGAACGTGGGAAACCTGGAGAAGACTTGAACACTGCAGTGGAGAGATACAGGGTTTGGGGATGGATAGACGGTGATGTTAGGTGGAAAGGCAGAGATATGCAGGACATCACACGTATCTGTAAGACTAAAATCAACTCTTCGTTAGTTCTGCTGCTCAAGTGACCACTTGCTCAGTGTCTGTCTGCCAGGCAAGGAACCGCTGCGATTTGCCCTGGTCGCTCAGGCCCTCGAGACAGAGAAAGAAGGTGAGCTGATGGCAACTGCACGCTGACTTTGGGTCAGGAAGCACAGGTGAGAGATCAAATTCCAGTGGAAAAATCAGAGGGTGCCAACTRCAGGAACTGCAGGTGAGATTACTTTGAGGAGAAAGGCCACTGTTGCAATAAAAATGCAATTCCTCTTCAAGTTTATGGGTAAACTGAGCACTCTAGCTCAGCTCTTCCTATCAGCAAGAGGTTAATTATAGAAACTTGCACCAAACGAGGGAAACAATACAGGAATATTGTTGGCAGAAGATCAGCTGAATACAGCACCATAAAGACCTTGACTTTCACACCTCCATAAGGAGGAAAGACAAATTTAGAGTTGTRCCATAGTGAAGGAAATCAAACTCTGACAGTACTTGAATTTATTATAGGAAAAAAAGGATAGGACTCATCTAACRACATTTTTTTTAACTATTGTAATTTGCAAGGAATTAGGAAATTATTATTACCATTAAAGGAATTTATCCTTTACAAGCAAGAAAGAATTTCTTATGGGAAGGGCAAAGTACAGGTACTAGGTAAGACCTGTTACAAATAAAATACAGTATATTCCATATAGTTTTAATCTTATTATAATCTTTTTTTTTAACTGGGAAAAAAAAACAAAATGCAGTAACATAGCAACTGCAGCAACCCAAAAGTTCTGTCAAAGTGTTTAAATTCCCATTAATTGAAAGAAAGTGAACCTAGAGTGAAGTGACAAGTACCCGTATGGACATGGTAGCCAAAGGTGTGAAGTTGTATGGGCAACCGTTGTCAAAAACAAGTGCTTGCGTATCATGTCTCAGCTCATGGGGCCCTTTTTCTGACTGAGCTTTCAGTAATACATTAACAATACAGTTAATAAATATTAACAATGTAAAGATTCAACATGTACCTGGGGAGGTCTGCGGGACAGTTTCACAGATCTATGAAAGTAGAGTCGCTTTTGGGAATGGAAGACAAATGATGAGGGCTGCCAAGGACGAGCAACCTAGAGATGACCCTGAAGATGGACCAGGAGAGACACTAAGATCCCTGCTGTGAGTGTTCTTCCACATCTAAATTAAAATTGCAATGTTCTTGCACTGAAATGCTACAGCTCTGAGCACAAACAGTGAGTTAAATTAGGCAAAGCATCTTTTGGCTTTGATAGTTAATATTTTTGGAGAGAATCAGTAAGCTTATCTCTACCATGTCCAGTTCTCAAAAACAGGTGGAGCTGTGGAAGGTCAGGTCCAAGAAAAACTGAAGATGAGGTCCAAGAAAAACTGAAGATGAGGTCCATTTTTCTTCTGTAGAGCCATTACAGAATCACGCAATATTGCGAATAAACTATAAAACACTGCTCTTGTCACAGGAACACACACTGCTGTAAATGTGTTGTGCAGAAGCTGCGGATCTTTCTCCTTCCTTAAGGAAGGAACCGGGAAATGGCAACTTGAGGAAGKGCCCACCAAAAGAAAGGGCATAGAGGAGTCACCCTCAAGACTACTGCAAGATGCTTCAAGATGCAAGTATATGAAACAGCGACCAGCTGCAGTCACCCTATCTTTCCTGAAAGGCCATACACTCTTTCCAAGCCTCACYGTACAGCTGGCTCAGTCAGAAGTGTCATTCTCCAGAGGCAGCATTGCCAAGAATGTGAAAACAGGAGGGCTGCCTAGGCAACACTGTAAACTAATATGTATTAACTTACCACATCCTGCTGACTGAAGCTAGGAAAATAATTCATATAGATTCATCTCTACTGCTATGTAGAGGTATGTACCTTACGCTATGGTTGCTGCTGTGCACTGATACGGAAGAAAAAGGAACTACGCTAAGCCAAAATGGGAGGGTAGCCAGGATCAATTTAATTCAGTTTTTGTCTATCTATACTGGTATCAAAGAGGAAAATGGAAAGCAATCTCCACCTCTGCTGGAGTTCAAAAGCAGAAGATGGTGAACTGCAATTAATGAGTGAAGGCCTCAACCGACTGAAAAAAAAAAAAAAAAAAAAAGAAAGAAAAGTTTAGGGTAGAGCAACAAAAATCAGTTAGAAAGAAGCAAAGGTGAAAAGAGCAGCAAAAGCAAGAAGCAAAAGCTAGAAGAGCTAACGCAGGTTCGAAGAGCAAAGCAAAGAATGTCAGAGAAGCAACTGAAAGTATTCCAAGGGAAAAAAGGAAAGCAATCTCCACCTCTGCTGGAGTTCAAAAGCAGAAGATGGTGAACTGCAATTAATGAGTGAAGGCCTCAACCGAGCTGAAAAAAAAAAAAAAAAAAAAGAAAGAAAAGTTTAGGGTAGAGCAACAAAAATCAGTTAGAAAGAAGCAAAGGTGAAAAGAGCAGCAAAAGCAAGAAGCAAAAGCTAGAAGAGCTAACGCAGGTTCGAAGAGCAAAGCAAAGAATGTCAGAGAAGCAACTGAAAGTATTCCAAGGGAAAAAAGTTCCAAACAGTAATGCAAGAAAAAAAAAATTCCCGAGCATATCACTACTTCGGAAACTATGCAAATGTGTAACACAGTACTCACTGCATCTCGCCTAGCAAATTCATCCTCTCCGCGGCACTGGGGCCACCCTGGCCCCGCCGGCTGGCCATGCCCTGCTCTGCCTGAGGGGATCTCCACTTGTTGAGCTCCGATCCTGCTAGCAATTCCCACCTGAGTGAGGTGCTGTATCTGAGAACCTTAAAAGCAAATATTGKTTTTTTTTTTTTTCATCTTTATACACAGTTAGGTTTGTAGGGCAGACATATGACAATATAAAACGTTGTTGGAAGCAGAAGACAAGAAGAAAGTGGAGATCTGTTTCTGTGTAAATTATATGCAAAAACAAAGAAAATCGGCAGAAAGAAGGCTACCACTGCAGAATAAAGAGAGAAAAGCTACGTGCATTTTGTGCAGTCCCTTTGAGTGTGATGCTGTTCATTGCCACAGCACTGAGGCAGGAGGTGGAGACACATGTATCTCAGACATGGACTGCCCTCCGCTCCACAAGCATGTCAGCTCTTTCCACAAGGGTGCTTATTGAAAGCCCTGGCCATGCTTTCACATAAACGACTTGGCAGCAAAGAGAAGACATTTGCTATGGTGGCACATTTACTTGCATCACACTGGTAAGACCCTAACTCTCTGGATTCCTTTCTAGTCCATCTCTCAGAAGAATAAAATACATGTCTATAAGAGTACAGTTCTTCCAGCTTTGCTTTGTGGTTAAACATTAAATGATGCTGCCACCAAGAGAAGGTCAGAACACACTGTATGTCCTTTATTAATTCAGCCTGAAAAGTAATCTCCTTTTCCCTCCCTTGCCTTTCCTCCCCATGGCTTTCAAACATATGCAAGAACAGCCACTATCATTAATTGCTGGAGATCTGTAGCAATGTGTCAGCCTTCCTTTTCACTTCCAAATTCCTTCCTACAGGGATATGAATTTATAAGCACATCAGAAACAAAACATTTAATAAACCCACAGATACATAACAGAAAAATGTGTGTGTGTTCACGCTCACAAAAAGGGAGGAAAAGACAAAATCAGCACAGTGTGATTTCGCTGACACCAGTTCACTTTCATGTCTTCCRCTCTAAAAAAACACAACTGATATTTCACAGGTTTGATACCTGCACTTATGCTGAATGGCAGGAACTAATCTTAATTCACTCCACATTTAAAAGCAGAAGACACACAAACACATATAAAATATTGTGARTCAGAGAATAAAATGTTCAGCATTAAATAATAACAGTTACTACACCCTTGTCTTTCTCATTCACTTCACAGTTACGGTGACAGGTCAGCAGCTATCAAAATTAGGACTCTGGCTAAAGTGTCTGATCGCATTTTCAGTTCTTTTCAGCTCTCTTGGAGTAACATATTTCTCTTAGAGAAACTGTGAGAAATCTAACTCTGTGTTAGAGAAATCTGGCTGTGTGTTAGATAACAATCATTCTTATAAATCACTGTTTGCTGCTTAATTACCATGTGATGCTGGAATCTTATTCATTACGATTTCCACAGCAATCACCAGTGCTAACACAACCAAATCTGGAAAGAAGATTTTTTAGGGGACAGCAGCAACAGACAGAATTCTCAGACGTTAAAACATCCTGCCTTTACGCTTGCATTTCTAGGAAAAGAAATGAAAAATAAAGACATAGAGAAGTACAAAAAATTGTTTCTTTGGCAGGCTGATTTCAGATGCCTTATAGAATAAAATAAATGAAGACTTGCRATGAAAAGTCAACATATACTGTGTATTGTTTAGTTTTTTTTTAGTTATTCACACAGAGTATAAATATGTATTTTTTGAAAATAACACTGTGGGATAACCAAGGTTTGCAAAACCCTAACAAAAACTGGCAAAGCACTGCCTTTTTCCACCAGGTCGAATGTACATAAAGCCAGCCCGAGCCAAGGCCTGGCCTTGGCCTCGCTATCGCTTCACGATCGCTCTTTTTGGCAGTTGAAGACAAGGGTCACATTTCAAAGGTTGTAGCTGAAGAAGAACGATGTGTTAAAGGTGCTCTCAGTTTAAAAGTAGCCTGGAAAAGGACCAGTTATTTCAGCGCTTGTTCGATTTATGCGCAATAAATACCTGCAGTGCTTCCCACAGGCCGTGGTCGTGCCACCGAGGGCSCTTCTTCCGAGTACATCCCCCTGGAGGGATACGGAGCCTCGGGGCCTTGCTGCTCTGGGTGCATCAGCTCTGCAGGCTGAAGATAACCTGGCCCAAAGTTCTGCCTGTAGGAAAGGGAGAACTCAAGATTACAGTAAGTGAATTGCCCAACCAAAACAGATATAAATATCCTACATATACATTTTTATATATATATGCATGTATACCTCATACAATAACTCTTTATGATCCCTTTGATGCACATTTTTACCACAAATGCTACAAAATGATCATATCCAAAGAACACATTCCTCCCTTGTAACATACAAAGGAATAGAGGTTAGAAATGCTAACAAAAAAATTCATACAAGTGTTTTTCACATGGTGCAGCTTCTTCAATGCAGAGAAAGAAAAACCACAGATACCGTTTTCACACGGTAGGAACAGTGTACAAGTTTAAGAAAAAAAAAAGTTGCTGGGCTCACTCAAACAGAACAACTTCACATGTGTTTTTCAGAATCAATTACTATTTCATCGTGTCCTGTTCATTTTTCTAAATATTTTCAAAATCATGTTCTACAAGACATATCAAGCTACACAAAATAGCATTATAGTACAAGGAAGATATTGTGTATAATAAAATTAATGTTTCCTCTTTCAGGCTGTCACTGGCAGTCTCTACAACACAGGAATAATTACTATTGCTAAAATTTACTGAGAACTGTCATAAATTTATCTTCACTAMTTGTGCCAAGGTAACACAACTTGTTGAAGAAATCCTAGCATTCTTTCATAGGACCAGAGAAGGAGGAGGTTATGTTGCTTTTGCTACATTTCCTATTAATATACATTAACMTTGAGACAGAGGGATCATATTTAAGAGAATGATGGCACCTGAGCTTCCGTGACTTATTTTTATCTAAGATTCTTTGCCAATAAAATTCGGATGTCTACACGATAAGACAAGTCTTTCTTAGACTCCATGTATGATTAAAGAATTAAAGAAAAGAGGTTTCTTGAGAGCTATTCACAGCAAAGGCTTTAGTGCAGCAAATCTTCTTCTGAAAGAACCTATATCTCATAAATGATTATCAGGGAAGCAAGGGAGGCAAACCTCTTACGTAAAGCACAGGAAAAYACACAGTGAGGACTGAAGCTTAGTTTTATACACCTCTAGGGCATCTAAGCAGTTCTAGGACATGGACTGAAACTTATGCTACCCCTGTTTTCATACTGCCTGTGGTTACATCTAACACAACCTATTCATGATCTGGGCTTATCTGGAAAACCAGCACTGTGTGTGCAAACAGACAGCCAAGAAGGTTGACAAAAAGCACAGATCTAAGTAAAGCCAAAACAAGTAACTGCAAAACAAAGCAGTAACTCTTTGGCATAAGGGGTCCAAGCTGTAACAATCCCACTGTTGAATTGTCAAAATTCCTCTAGCTTTTTGCATACATTCCCAACAGCTCCAGAAGAAAAAATTTTTTGATCAGATTCATGGGCTAGTTAAAAGACACGTTGCAAAGGGTAGGTAATGTTTAACAATGCCTTTTGTTATTTTAATCATCTTAACTAGAAAAAGAAAGATGTGATAACCCAGCATATTAGGCCTACACCACAGAGTTGGAACCTGACAATCGACAAGCTATTGTGATTTTTGCTGTCGCTTTTAAAGCAAGTATCTTAACATTACTGCTGAATGTATTATTTTTATGCCACTTCTTTTGAGTGGACGTCTATGCTTCATTGCTGATGTGTGTGCAGATGAAGGAAGTTTAATAACCAACCCTCTCTCTACCCAACTTTCTTTATAATGGATTTAGTTCATCTTCAAAGTTCAGAGGTCAACAAAAGAGGATGGAAACTGGACACATTTTAGAATTTATATTAGAAAGTAGCACTAGAAAGCTGTCTATTGCCAGACTGAAAACCAGCCTTCAGTTTATCTTCTCAGGTTCAAAAAAAGAAAACAAAAGCAAAAAAAAAATAAAAAAAAAACAAGCAAAAAAACCGCCAACCCCTCCACAAAAACCAAAACACCCAAATGGTTTCACCTCCAGAGACTGCCCCAGAAATAAATTTTGCAGCATTTGGCCTCCATGGTTTAAATGCTTGGTATCTGTTGCACAATGCAATATTCATTCTCAGGTAAAAGCTCTTCGTTGTGCCTTTATATTTGCGCAGCTGTTACGTGACCTCGCTCTTCAGTGTTTAAATTCTATTCTTTACCCCAGTTAATTCCTGCCCATTACAGATGCTCACTGCATTTGTACACAGCAGGGAACAGTCTGGGTACCTAACGATTACTCCCTGCATTTGGGTAATCTAATGAAGCAAATCACCTATGGCATTGATACAAACCACCTAATCACAGTGACCTCAGCTTATTTCCTTTTCTCCGGTTTCTGCACTATTTCTATCATTTGTTCTATTACTATCTTCTGAATTAGAGCATAACCTCAACTATGACAGCTCTTTGTTGCTTTTCTGTCAAGCAAGCTTCTGGAAACCCTCTATTTTAATGAAAAATTTAAGGAATTCTTCCTTAGAAGGTCCATAGCCTTGCAAACTGCCAACTTAATCTGCTGACACTGGTAGAAGCAAGTGTTTGAACTATTAATAGCAGCATCATGAATCTGTAGCTTACAGAAACCCACAATGCCTATGCAGAGGGTTGACGAGCTACTGAACTAAGTGCATGCTGCAAAGACTGTATCTCACTCAGGTGTTTTCACAGAGGTTATTGCACTTTTGAAACTCGTTTATCACCTTTTCCCTCCATCTGCAACAGGCCAGGAAAGAAAAAATCCCCAACAGTTATCCAAATGCCAGTACATTTCATTATGCACTGTACCCAAAATGCTGGCAGCCTCAAAGCCGCAGAATATCTAATTTACAAAAAAAAGAAAAAAAAAAAAAAAAAAAAAAACCATGATAAAGATGACTGCATGTCATGCTTTGCATCATTTCACATACTGATCCATTCACACTGGGACTGCCCATTTCAACCAAGACCTAAGTGAGCAAATGTGTTTACACAGTCAAATATGCTCTTTTTTTCTAGTTATACTTTCAGCAGAGGGTTGCAGAACAATGATCAAAGGAAAACTCTCCTTTTCCATTCTGCAGCTAGAGAACCATTATGTTTCCAAGGCAGTGAAGACATTAGACAAAATCTGAGGAATAGCAAGGACACCAATGGGCTTCATCGTCAGGTGGTGAGCTTGAAAAATACAATAGACAGGTAGTTTCAGGACATCTTTTTACTACCTCAGCTGCAGCAATTCGGTGTGTATGAGTGAGACAAGCACGACCCAAGTGGGTACAGTGACCGAGAAGAAGCTGATTTCATGTRCACACAGATACCAAGCAAGGAATAAACCATCCCTTGGCAATTGCCTCTTCTGTTTACATGATTCTTCCACAGTCAGGCCAGAGGAAGATGCAAGGGTTGTTCCCCACTGACCTGACAGCAGCAGGTCTGGAAAGTAGTGTTTCTCCATGAGGGCCACTATGCTCTGCAATGTGTTCCTAGCTTTGCTAAAAATGAAATGAGCTGGTGGTCATTTTCAAGCTTTTGCAAGTGAGTGTAGGTGAAAGCAAGAGCACTGGGAGAAGTGCATGTATCTGTGTCACTGCTTCAGGCTGAAAGTCAATGGTTTCCTCAGTGTTTGGAAGACTAACTCTACAGCCAAGGAGCTAGAAACACATTTCTCTTTAAGGGAGGGTTGGATTCCATACAGTCTCAAAGTATATCATTTGTGCTCTATAAATTAGAGGCTGGATCTGGATTCTATACAGTTCTTTGGATAATAACATACCAATGTYAACAAGAACTCTGGAGAAAATGCAAAGAAAATAATACATGATAATTCCATCAGTGAAAAACTACCTTGGTAGGAGGCCTGGTGCTGTTGGCGGAGTCATTCCAAATTCCACATACCTCTGTTGAAAGAATGAGATGAATTAAAACCCATACACTGAGAAGTTCAATGTCAGCCCTTTAAGTGATGAACAGCAGAGATCACTAGGCCTGTATGTGCAACTGGTTTGCAACTGGTTTGCAACCTTAGTTTTACAACTAAGCTGCACAAAGAGGTCCAGGAAGCATCACTACACTGACCTTTCTGTGCAACACAGTTTGTAAAACTAAGCTGTAAAGTGAAGCGGTCTCCTTTGCCTGATCGTGGTTTTTATGTAGCTTAGAAACCTTTCAATAATATTCTCGCTCGCTTGTGGATGAAAGGCTGCCTCAATGTATATTTAGCTTAAAATTTTCAGGCAACTAAGTTTTTCTTTTCTCTTACATGCTGCAAGCTCATCAACTTCTGCTGAACTGCTATGGAAACCAAGGTGATCTGACGATCCATGTGTCTCTCAGTGCTCCATAAAATGCAAAGAACGTACACAGAAATACTGCTCCCCTATCTCACAGTATACATTTCAAAACATGTAATTAACTAGTATATATATTAAAAGAAAATAAATTTATCTCTTAGACATGGCAAGACTTATCACTGAAGAATCACATCTGAGAAGATCAGAACAGTTATCATAAAGGAGGAGAAGGCCAGGGAGGGAAAAAGGGACAAAGAATTCAAGTGACTAAAAAAGCAAGTTCACTATTTTGTGACAGGCCATTTGCCAACTCTCCCGGTTCTAGAATTTTCTTGGTGCTTGTGATTAATGCCAGACAGAAAAGGTACAACAGTGACCGTGGCTCAACTGGTGCTAACTTTCTGCCCAGAAAAGCCTTTCAAAAAGCACCACTCACATTAAACRGGTTGTTTACTGCCTGAGCTGGACCATTAGTTGATCCCCTCCCTGCTCGAGCGGGAGTGTTGTTTACCGGCTGTCCTGCAGAGCCCCCGGGAGGTGTGACAGCAGTGGAATTGGCCGTTTGGCTACTGGGAGCCACGAGGGCAAAAGCATCATCGAGCAGAGAGTGCATGGTCTGCCGAGCCTCTTCAATGGACGGCTGCGGTGGGATGTACTGGGAGACGGGGTGGGAAGGCAAGGCAGGAAACTTCCCAAGGTCAGCTGAAGAAGACGTCTGAGGCTCAGGAGGCAAGTCTGGATCAGACTGGAAAAAGAGAAAGAAGCTGAAGGGCAGCCAGATCTAACTAGGCAACCCCCAAGACACAGTGGGCCTTAATCTGGAGCCACATCCCCTTTAGCAAATCAGCATAGGGTAAATGGCACAAGCACCAGCACTGGACAAAACTTATTCCCTCCTCACTTAGCATGCACATACATRACACCAACTGTTCCAGCGCTTCCCTCAGGGTCCCATGCAACACTGTAATCCTAGATAAGGCAGCAATGCCATCAGTGGCCCGACAGCTTTCACAGGAATGCTGTGGATTGCCAGTGTGCATGGATTCACACTGTGAGCATCTCACTCCAGCCAGAAAAAAGGCAATCTGCTCTCTATGCATCTCTGAATTCTCTGCAGTCTTTGCAATACCAAGAAATAAATGCAGTCTTTAGTTTCCAGCTGACCACATCAGCAGCAATATTAAGCAATTACTGCTTTGCAGAAAACGGCCTGAAGGGAGCTGTAAAGCAGCTAAGTGATTAGCTGCGTGGAACTTGAACTGAGGTGCATCACCTGAGTGGGATTCACTAAATACTTCCCAACAGTGCTACCTGAGGCAAGCACCACAATTACTACCTGGGATCTCACCACATGGGCTTACTGCTCATCAGGACTGGGAAATGAAACTGGCTTTGCAGCAGCAGAGCAATCATCAAAGCTCACTCTTGCCACTGCATGCAGACTGCAAAATGGGCTGTCGAGATGCAAGCGGCTCTGCTTCACCAGGAGCTTCGCGCGGGCGCCACAGGGGCTGGGCTTTCTGTGTGACAAGACTTAATTGAAGAGCTCCAGATGATAATTCATTCTGCTACAGCACGATATTAAAAGCATCACACGCTTGTTTGGATGCAGAAGGGAAGCCACAGAAATCTACATTACAGCCACTTGACTGCATATGTAGCTAACAGGGAAATTCTTAAAATTATTAATCTACTTTCCAAGATGAAAGCTGTYCAGTGGGTTCCACTGCTAGCATTAGACATAGTAAAGACTGACAAGTAGTAGTTAAAACATGCCCAAATTCAGTTTATGAAATGGCTATCAATGAACAGCAGTGGTCTCCATTTTTTTGTCATCTTTACACAGGAAATGAAACCAATTTTCAAGACAGTGGATTAGAATTGTTCCAAGTTATTGCAATACAAAGATATCTGTTACTCTTGCATTAATGACTAATTCCTCCAYTTTAACAATGAGAAATGTGCCATAGAGGGAACTGAGACTTTCATTATGTATGAAAAAAAGGTACTATCTTCTGTAACATGAATATATAACATGCAGCAAACTGGACTACAGTGAAATAAAGTTCATCATAGTGTGGAACAGGCAAAGCACATTTTCATGTGCATAATGCAGCAATATTAACAAAAGCYAAGTTTTAGCTCTTAACTTCTTTAAACTTAAACTTTTTTATAACAATAGAATTCTTGGCAGAATTTTTTAGTGCTTAATACTAACAGAGTGCCAGTGAAATCCTTGTTTCACTCTGATTTATGTGCTAATTACATGTGACTGAAAMCAGCCATCCAGACCATAGTGAGAAAGTGGAAACCTCCCCGTGTCGCAACGGCCGTGACAATTATCAGAGCACTGGTGTCACTCAAGAGCCATACGTACAATGTAGGCGGAGTTATTGACTCCTGGAGGCCTTTTGTACGTCCCGTCGCTGTCGGTGGTGATTAACCTGTCCTTCTCCGCGTCAAGGGGACTGCCGTTCACCTGATGGCGGCGGCGCGCCTTGGGGGAACGTTTCGCACGAGAACTTAAGGCAAGAAAGCAAAACCAAAAAGACAGGGAAAAACAAACAAGAGACAGGTCATTACATTTCTTTCTTTTTTTTTTTTTTTGTTTTCCTTCTCAATCTCACTCAGTGTTGAACTTCACTGCCCAGTCACTGCAAATCACCTTCTCAGCCCTGTCTGTCTCTCTTCCTTTCCTCAGTTTTTCAACCTAGTACCACTCTCTAAYCCCAAATCTTTCTCCTCAGTCTTCTGCTCCCTTACACAGGCTCAGATCACCAGACTCCCTCCTCATTCATGCTCTTTCCACYGTCTCCATCCCTATCTTTCAAGCCACTCATGCTCCTGCCTCCCTTGTTTCTCCCCACATCCCAGATCCATGCAAAGTCTGATGCATTCTAACTAGCAGAAGAAACGAAGCCACCAGGTTTTGTCCTTGGCACCTTGCGTTTAAACTGACTGGGACAGGTTGACTGAAGAACATATGAAGATTCTGAATGTTAAGGGCAAATTAACAAATAGTATGTTTTGAAAGTTGATTAAGTGTTTCATGATTTTGCATTTCTTYTCCTTTATAAAAAGTGTTTCTTTCAGTATATAGGTTTTTTTAGGGTTTTTTTTTTTTCAGTGCTTACAATGTATTACCATTTTGATCCCCCTACAAAAAATGAAAATAAGAAATAAATAGCAGATCAAATATATGTTGTTTAACAACAATCTTCATACATTTGAGTTTATGTACTGAGAATTCATCCATGAGAATGTGCTAAAAAATAATCTGAAAACATAACTGGTACATGCAGAAGTAGACCAAAATATTTAGAATAGCCCCAAGTTTTTCACCCAGCCAACTCAAGTTCAACTAAGGACCAAAATACTGTTAAGCTCTGAAAATTGACAAGTACAGACCTGATGCACTTTGGAATTTGACTTGAAAAGAAGATTTTTCTTTCTCGTCTTTGAAACCCCTACCTCTTTCTGGGCTCTATGAAGACAGTCGGCACATTGCCTCCAGGGTCCAAGATCTTGTCAATTTGCATCTGTGCCTTACGATATATTCTGTGCTGTTCTTTGGAGTCGACCACCAGCACATCATCCACCACTGGAAACTCATAGTGCCCTTTGCGCTTGGCGCGAAGACGAATCTTGTTGCGGTGATGCTCGATCTCGGATTTATGCCTTAGGGCTGTCTGTATCTTAAAGAAGAGGGAGAAGGAAAAAAGTCAAGTCATTTTCAGTTGTATTTTTTGCAAATAGAACTTCTTGCTGCTGTTCCATAAACCTCTTCTCCTCACTTCACTGCCTGGTCTCACCTCCTTAAAGATAAAAAATAAACTTGAAGGATTAAAATAAGCCACATGATATTTGTAAGCATATTTTTATGGGTATTTTTTTCGCTCCTGCTTGTAGTTTTCACATTATCACCCCAGGTAGAAGTCCTCTTACACATGATACAATCACCAGCACAGCGGGTGCAATTAAAGAGAAGTGACAGACTATTAATAATAGGCAACAGGAGCACAAAAATGTCCTGCCATTTGCGAGAGCGACATTGCTCTGAGGAAACAAGACTGACCAACATAGCCTGTACCTACTTTTGCTTGTCAAACACATATGTGACCAATAGGGTTGAGGTCTGTCACCCATTCCCTCTAATGCCAACTTGTCATGCAAGGAGCAAGAACTCAGGAAAGCTCACGGGGTGCATCGAGTTCACAGAGTTCATTGCAAACCAACACCTTCGCTAAGCATGAGCGGCTGCCACTGTCTATGCAGAAATGCTGCTGCAGCTTTAGAGCCCCAGCCTGAGGTGGTTGTGGTGTCCTAAGCTCTGTGACTTCCCTCAGGCTCAGCTTTCATGCCTCCCTCCTATCCTTTTTCAAATTCCTTGGTGTGTACCACAGCATCTGGGCAAAACTACCCTAGCACCATGCTTTTAAGTACTAGCCCAACACTCCTTGAAATGATTTGTTAATCACATTACAGATAAGAGATAAAAATGGACATTTCTCTGTAGTCCCACTAAAAATTAAAAAAGAGGCATATTAAGGACATAAGCCATATTTGCTCTTTGCATTTAAAGTTCGAATTAGATCAGTCTTCTGACCATATAATTATATTTTTACTTCCTAGCTTCTCTTGTCTATGTGGACTAGATACATCCCATTTTTCCCTTTTTCTGTAGAGACTCAGATAAATGGTGCCTTACTAGAGTTAAGCTAAAGGTTTCAGCAATCTTCTGTTTTCACTTACGAGAAGATGCTATCTTACTAGTACAAAATCAGGACACAGGTTCATGGTACTGCAGGCAGTGTAAGAAGTGGTTTCACAGTGCACTACCTTCCCTTCTACTGCCCCCAGGCGTATTCTCATTCTGCCCAAAACAACCTGAGCTCCTAAGAAAACAGTAAGTTTCTATATGCTTCCTGTCAAATAAGTGCATGCATGTGAGAAGTTGGAAGCATTTCATGTGTTGCAAATTCACACTCCAACRTGCTCTTCTGAGACACCTTCTTAGTAAAAGCTTCCTGAGTTGCAGGAAAACCAGGAGAACAGTGTGCAATGAAACCCAGGTGGGCCAGAGAGCCCCAACACTCACACAGCCATTAGCAGAACCCTCATAAGGCACGAGGTTAGCAAAGTCAGGGCAACAAAAGGTAGCCTGACTACCAGCACTGCTTAGTGTCTCTTACTGCTTAAGTTTTATTTTAGGTATCTCTTGCAACAGGTCAGATTATCTCTGGACGGAAAGAGGATCATCCCTGTGACTTGTCAAGACTCTACCCCTCAGGGAGTGGTAAAGGAACTAACGTGAAACTCCTCACTACAAGAAAGAAACTGGATTTTTACTTCTCTGGAAATCTGTGCAAATGGCATCTTCCCAGATGAGCACTCAAAGCACTTCAAAAATACCTCTTTGTTAATTTTGTTGGTTTCTGCCACTCGATCAGAAAGTATGGAGTTCTGAACCRGAGGTGCTGCCATGGGCTGCATAGCGATCAGCTGGATCTTGCTGGGGACCCTTCTGCTCGCATCCGAGGAACGGGACATCCTGTCCACGTGTTCGAAGATGGAGGCCGAGGAGTGCTGCTCGTTTCCACTGCTGCTCTGAGGAGGGCCTGAGGTACCAGAACAAACACAGAGCAGAGTTGTGCTGCTAGGGTTATCTCAGTCAAATGTCAAGCTTTACAGATGCTACGCTAAGAGACTGCCATGTTCTCCATCTGTGTTTAATTTGCCCTCTGGGCCTTCCAGCCGATTCACATTTAGTGCATAAGAAGTTTATCCAGTCATTTGCAAATTATAAACATTTTTCCATTACATTTCCAGAAGGTGAACTGCCATTCTTTATTTCTGTAAATCAAGCTCTTGGCATTTGCAAAGCCCCCAAATCTCAATCCACTCTAGCCCATAAAAAGCTGCTCTATCACACACCACTAATGGTTCTTCTTATCAGTACTTAAGGAGATGTAAATTCCTCAAATGRATTTTCAAAAAAAGCAATGAAAAGATGTCACACTGCAAAATGCAGTTTTTAAAAGGTAAGGCATAGAAGGAGCAATACATGAACTAAACATAAAAATACTTAGAAATCCACACACACACCCCAAAAAAAAAAAAAAAAGGAAAGAATTTTATAGCCCTTTTATTGATTTAAGCTTTTAAAGCCCTGCTTTCTTCCCAGGGAGATGACAAACAGTTAACATACTAACATGCAAGCTGCACAAATATTGCTGTGTCAGAATCTGCTGAATGGCATCTATCAACCCAGATACAATCAGCAAGTGAAGTTATGGAAAGCAGTAAACCTGGAAAGATACACAGCCCTGGTCTAGCAAACAGGTAACTTCAACAGGAAGGGATCATTTTCCTCAAAGACTTAGGGAAGTCAGCCTAGAGAAAAAACAAATAAACAAACAACAACAACCAAAGACCCTTAAACATTTGCTTMGTCATAACCCCTGGGGTAATTTTACAGACTTCTTTTCCCCAGGCTGTAATGAACCATTACATCATTTGAGTTGACAGCTACTAAAGAGTTGCAAAACAATCATTTGTCTTGTTTTTACAAATTCTCAAGCTGCTTTTCTCCATGAAATATGAGAGGTTTAGGTCTGCAACCTTTCTTATGGAGAAACACAATGGAGGAGAGGGAGAGATTTCTGAATCCTTGCATGGGCCGTAATTCTCAGATTCAGGATCAGGAGGAGAAACAGTGGAAATTAGGAGCCTGATCCAACGCTGACAGACAGGAAAGAAAACAGCCACTGCTTGGATCCATTTGCAATACCTGGTGGTACTGAGGTGTAAGGTTCAGAGGAGAAGTGAATGTTACCTTCCATGGAAGACTGCTGAACATTAACTACTTCTTTACGTCCCCGCTATAGCACAGAAGAGGAGCAGCAAAGGGATGGAATGGCACTCTTCCTAATATTCACTCCATACTGCTTTGGGCTGGAATGCAGTCTGGCCCCAAATTAATAATAATAAAAAATGTCTTATTTCCCATATTTCTTTCAAACTTCATCAATGTATTGTAAAATTGGCACTTTAGTGTCCACCACTTATAAATGATACTTTCCTCTGTAAGCGAAGGTAAAAAGTTCTGCTGAAGATCTCTGCATATCAAATGKTTTGCAAGACACCAACACTTTTAACCAATTGAAATATAGCGACCTCTCTTTTGCAGCGATTTATACAATCTTTACCACCTGTCATCTTCACAATAATTAATGCGTGCAATCTTCACTCATTTCTTTGAGGCAAGCAAGCACTGCCTCTCAGAGAGGCACGAGACATATTTAGCAGTGTGTCCGAATCCCTCAGAGTAAGCCTGCAGTGCAATGGGAATCTGAACGTCACAGCCACCTTCCCATTTTTGCACACACTAGTCATGTTTTTCTAACCTTTTCCAGTCTGACAGCAGTTCTGAAAACTCCCAGACCTCCGACAAAGAAATTGTAGGCAATGTTTTCATACTAAGAGGTTAGGAAGATCCAACTTATTCAATTACAGAATCACAGAATTCTTGTGGTTGGAAGGCACCTCTGGATATCTTCTTGTCCAACTCCTCTGCTTAAGCGGGATCACCTAGGACTTGAGGCTCAGGATCATGGACAGGCTGGTTCTGTCTGTCTCCAAGAATGGTCTCCAAGACCTCTCTGGTCAGCCTGTTCTGGTGTTTGACCATCCTCACAGTAAAGTGGGTTTTGGTTGCCTGGTTGGTTTGGTTGTATGTCCAGATGGAAATTTCTGTGTTTCAATTTGTGCCCTTGACTTGTGCTGTCTCAGGGCACAACCAAGAAGAGTCTGACTGTGTCTTCTTTACAGTCTCCCTTCAGATATCTACGTACATCAATAAGACAGCCCAATCCCTCTCCTCTGCAGGCTAAACAGCACAAAAAGCCATGGCCCTATAGTAAATACTGCCAGGATAAGCCTTATCCTCACAGTGACTATCAACAAAGTTAGTAAGGATGTGTGGGAGCTCTTCCCAGGACATAACCCACAKTACCAGTGCTAAAATGAGTAAATATACACAGAAATGCACCAAATAAAGAAACAAACAAACAAMMAAAAAAAAAGCCAAATGGRCAAACACACAAAGGAAAAGTATGGTAAAATTAGCAAAATTTACTTTCATGTCACCTGCTATACWAGTAATAAGGCTTACTTTCAAAGGAAAACAAAGAGGATAACTGTTTAGATTTGATTATTTCCTTGAGCACAGAAACAAAAGCTCCTTTTAACTCTGGAAAGAAGAACAATTCCCAAGCATTCAATCCCATAATTAATGTAGTGTTATTTCAGTTCAATTAGTTAATCTATACCTGAGAGAGTTACCTCAAGTACACTTGCAAACTCCAACATATGTAAGTATCACTTGTAAACAATATCTGGTGCTTTTTATTTTTATTTAAAATGGCTAAGTTAGATTCAACCTCTAAATCCTCTCTTTATGCAAACCAACTGTATCTATAGATGCGAACAAATACGAAAATGTAGCAAAGTAGCTAAGAAGACTGGCCACTGCAGGGTGCTGTAGAGGCACTGTAAGAAAACTGACCATTTCAAACTCAATAAACCAACTATCTCCTTTAGAAGTTCTGACAGGATGAAACAAGAATCATTTTTCATTTCAAAATACTTTCATTATACTACTGTCCACATTTAAGAAGTTTTTCTTATGTCTGAAGCTATCAAATGCCACTCTACGAAGGCAATTTTGATCTCAGACCAGAGGGCTGAAGCTGAAAAATAATGGAGAAGAATTAAATGACCCAAATAGTGGATAGAGCAGGTTTCAATAACTGGTCTGTGTAGGTGACTTGTCAGGATTAATRCTCACTACCGCCTGCACTGGAATTGCTGACCTGGACCCAAGTGCTGGGAGAAGGAATTGCTCTGCAGGAACGAGGAAGGCTACTCCTTTCCCCAGCCTCTTTAAATAAAAAAGAAAGGACGTCGCAACCAGCGTGCAAGAAATCTAACCCCAATCCAGCTAAAGTCAATTGCTATCTCCCACTGATCCAGAGGGCTTTGGATGCTGCACAGGTTGAGTTTCACCCAGTAGATTTATATCCCGATGGGCTGTGTCCCTGGGATGCAGCTGATGCCTCTCATTAGCTGACAATGGCAAGGCTCATGGCCAGCCCCGGCCCATCTGTCTTTACTCTTAGGAGAGGGAAATGACAATGGAAGAACAGGGTCTTTAATTCATCACCAGCTAGGGTACACATTAGCAAAGAGAGTGCCAGCTTTCTTCTATCTAATCTCTGCTGTGTCTCATTCCATAYTGGTAAAACACTTGATGTAATGAGGAAATATTTGCGCTTCCTTGTAGGTTGCCTGCATTTCTCTTAAGCTTCCAGTAGAGAGGCCAATTCTAAGTATTGCTGACTGTGACCATAACTTGTTTATAGCAAGCAAGAACAGCTTGCCTCAGTTTTGCCTCTTTCACAGTGAGGATGTTTTCCTCAATAATTTGAAAGAATTTGGAGGAAATTAGAAAAATGTGTTTGTATTGAATGACTRTAATTTGTGTTATTGAGAACCTTTTCTACGTCAATAACTCAAAAGCCATTTTGTTTTTTCGACTCGGAAGACAAATCTTTTCATGCTTAAGATATAATTACAGCTACCCCAGCACCTCTATTCATACTTGTACTCAACTACCGGCTCTGGTTACTTACCCACTCTGTTTGCTCCTGACAACATAAAAGGAAAAGAAGAGACAACACAGTAATTATTACAAATAATTCAGCTGGAATGGCAATTGGAAAAAAATACAGCACAAAAATGATTGTATTYACTTTTGAATGAAATGTATAACTTGGATCTAACTGCCAAGCTTCAGCTGCACAAAAAGGGGGCCAATTCTGCCATTTAACAGGCACAGAGTTTTCTGCACATACTAAGGCCAATTCTGAACGTTAAGAATTGTCTGAGTACTAATCACAGAGACCAACTGCTGAAGAAAAGAAATTATCTGGCAAGGGCGCTATGGATGGAAAAGAACACTTTTTACACAGCATTCCTGCAGTCTTCACCAGATACTCAAGATCTGGCAACATGTAACACTCCTACACCAAAACAGGCTAAACCCTACATAAGGGTTTCAAGCCAGATAAAGAAATTAAAAAAAAAAACGGAGTTCTCTGATAAGATGAAATGGGACAACAGCAAACCAGGGCAACYGAATGGAAGTCAGACAGGTTGAAGCAACTCATAAACCAGCTGTCTTGCCTGAGATAAGCTTTGTAGCTAGGTACAATTTCTGTTTCTTAGAACAAAAAAAAAGAAAGTGAAGACACTGAAATATACACGTATACAATTTTCTAGTCACATCTGCACAGCTTGTGCTTTGTTTCCTTAGATGCTTATTAGAGAAGCAGGCCTGCTCCATCACTCGTGCTCTTTCAGGAGGAGTCCATGCTATGAAAGCTGCAAACCACACACTGTTTAACCTGCTGTTTAACTGGCCAAGGCCTTGCGGCTTGTATAAAATGACTATCTTACACATGGCTCTAAATGCCACTTCTTCAAAATGAGCATAAATTGAAGAATACCAGCTATAACCTCAAGTTCAATGACACCRTGGCACCACATTCTTCAGCAGCTACCTTTACTTCTCAGCTGGTATTTCGCTAAACACATGGAAATACACTCAATGTRTGGAAGACTTCTCATAATATATAGTCAATATTTTTTTCTTCTCAGTTTCTACTGCTATCCAGGCCACATGTATTAAAACCAGACTGGGATATTACAAGCTTCTTTACCAGATATTTTAGAATCAGAATTTTCCATAGGAAAGCTATCAAGATTTAAGCCAAAGATCTGGCAAATAAATCCTCAAGCAAGGGGCAGGCTATCTAAACTCCAGAAGATCTCAGGAACARAACTTTGCAACACAGTTAACCACACACTTTTAAAGTGGAATAGAATTTAACTTTAATTAAAGGGAAAAAAAAGAAAAAAAAAAAGCAGTTTGGTAGTAGTATTCCTTTCCTAAGTGAGGAAAGAAATGGACCACATGGGAATTTTAAGATAAATGGTTGCATTTTAAGCAGTCAAAATGTGGTTCTCCATACACATAAAAAAAATCAACRCTATTGATATATTATCACTGCATTTTCCTCTTTCTAAAGCATAACATCAAGGCATCTTGAAGTCTGAATTACATCTCATATTTAAAACTTTTAGCTCTCTTCTTTTTAAAATCTTTTTTCGAAGTTGCAGCTACAGACATATGCCCATGTTGTTTCAACATGGAGTGCCGTGGGGAGCTCCACTGCACATGTAACTGTCTCCAAAATGGCAGTGAATCATAGAATCATAGAATCATAGAATGCCGAAGGTTGGAAGGGACCTCAGAGGTCATCGAGTCCAACCCCCCTGCTCACGCAGGGTCACCGAGAGCACGTGGCACAGGGCTGCATCCAAGCGGGTTTTAAAGATCTCCAAAGAAGGAGACTCCACAACCTCTCTGGGCAGCCTGTTCCTGTGAAGACAGCCACAATAACGCCTAAGTGGAAAGAGGTTGGCCAGGAGGTGCAGAAGAGAAGAGGGAAACCTCCCTCCCTCCTGTTAAGCCACTCGGTTCAAAAGCTTGCCGGAATGAAAGGAATGTGTAGATCTTTGGTTACAACAGAATAAGCTAAAAGGAAGAGGAAATTTCTGCGGTGCAAACCAGAAATTTTAATTGCCAGATAAGCTTTTAGAAAAAGTTACAGCTTGAGAAATGACTCTTCCGCCTAACCCAGTAAAACGCTGCTACTGCACGCAAGAAAAAAATGTAACAAACCTTTCTTCAGKGCTCTGCGTGGTTTGCCCTCATTTGTCACTGCTGACGGTCTTGCAGTTTCTTCCCCTGTCTCTCTCCCACTGGACTGTTCACTTGCTGTGGAGTCAGCGTCTGACGGCGAAATTCTGCCACAAATATCAAAAAAAAMCCAAATCAACCAATCAACATACTGCGTAAGCTTAAAAAGGGGCAGCCTCTTGCATGCAAAGAATCCTGCATTAACGTATCTTGTGATGACTGTTTTTTTTCTAAGTTAWTATAAATGATCAGCTAGCTATTCATAACTATGATCTTGGTGTTATTATGTGTGTGAAAGCTGTTTGAAACAGTTTTCTCTTGTCAACACTACAAGTCCATGGGCATATTTTCCCACTYGATTAAATATAGGGCCATTCAGAAATCCTGCTTTAACGTACTTACCCATGGAGTCACAAAACCCTTAAAAATACTTACTGCCTACAAATTATGAGTCCAGACTCTGCTCCTCCAGTCTCTCTGATAGCAACACATCAACAACACTGTTAATACAACACCCATTCTGTTCTCAAACTTTTTTGGACACTCAGGAGACATAAATACCATTTATGTAAATGATCAGCTAAATGATTGCATCTAAATCATCTAAATGATTGCAGGTGATTACAGAATAGTCTGAAGAAATAATGTGACTTTCTCCATCAGAATCATTTGATCGTAAAACTAATCACATAATATTAAAAATAAAAAAAAGAAGGATAAACACGGGACAAACCCCACGCAGCTGACACCAAAGCCTGTCTTTTCACATGGGACTCTCCTTTTGATCCATGTAGGGAAGTAATCATCTTAAGTGCAGATTAGTCATTGCACTAACTGCGTCATGTGCAAGACTGGCAAGTGCTACATGGATACGTGAACACGTTTCTGAAGCCCCCAGCTCAACGTCAGGCTGCCTGGAATGCACAGGCCAAGATAACTACTCTCACCTAGACAAGCTCTTGGAAAGCTAAACCTAATACTGGCAGCAGGCAGAGCTCCTAACTCAACTTCCCCTTTTCCCCTCCCTGGGTAATACCCTGATAATCCAACACTCTATTATTTGTGGTTTTTGTTGTTGTTGTTTTTCTCTGCAGGCTTGTAATACTAATTAGTCTTATTTATCTCAATAAAATATTACTTAAGGAGAAAAAAGAGAAATGGTTCTCAATGACCTTACAGATCTGCACCACTGCACCTTTTCTTCTTTTCTACAGTGGAAAGAGAGGGCAGAGCTACCTTCTTCATCATCATTTTCACTCTGTCTTGGTTCAGTGAAGAACATGGAGATCTGCTACTGACTGTTTCACCTTTGTCTGCTTTGCTCTCCTTCATACTCATTCCTCCCTCTACCTAAATGATCAGGAAATATGTTACATGAATATACAACAGTGTCAGGTGAACACCAGTCTTCCTTTACGGTAACTGCTGTGGACTATTCAATTGCCCCCTTTCTAAACAAAACAGCAGATCCAACTGTAAGCCAGAGCCTAAGGACGCTATGTTTTCTGAAAACCAGCTGTCTTTTTCCCTTTTCTTTTTTTTCAAAGCAATATGGAAAGCACTCAGTCACCACTATATTTACTGGCATGCAAGAGAGTTCTGAATTGCATTATAATGAATCAGAAAACAACTAAACCAACGTAATACACTACATTACCATTTTGCATTTCAACTGCTCCCTCAGGGAGTAAATGTTTTAAATCTAGGCTGACATGGGCATGTCAGCATGTTACAGATATGGTAACATCTTCACAGTTAAGTGCAAAGGGAGGTTTGCACTTAACAGTGGGTAAGGGAGAGAGGGAAGTTCTTTGTAAACCACTTGGAAAGGTTTGAATTTAGAGTCTATTAAAAACAAAACCATTGTTCCAAATTTGATCAATATATTACAGTCTGCAGGCAAAGTATTACAATGCTGGGTTCTGAAATTTTTCATTTTCTGGCTTATTCTAGATGAAATACTGCAACATTCTGAAACTAAAATTTGCTTCTTATTTTAACTTGCATATGAACAAACACTTCTCCTCCCCACTCTCTTAGGCCMCTTCTGAACTTTTAAAGAAAAATACCAGAATCCTCGTCCTTCTGATTTMTGTTAATTTAAGCTACACTTCCTTCCCTTATTTTCCAGCACTTCCAGGCTCCCACTGAGGGGTGGCAATCGACTGTGCAGGAAGCCCCTGGGGAGGTGGCAAGTCAGGCTCGGCAGCCGYGAAGGAGGAACTGGAGCTGCAAGAAGTCCACGCGGGCAACATGAAGAAGAATCTTAGAGCAACGAGGACTCTGGAGGAAGGTTCAGCAGAGGAGCAAGCTGCGTCACAGAGGCCTGCAGCACAGGAAGAACCACCAGCAGCTGCTTTCTAATCTCATTTGACACCACTTCTGCATGTTTTTTCTCCCACAGTGCAATAATATATAGGTAAAAGCACAGGAACATGCAGAGTTGGAGACAAGGGGGTGCAAAAATATGAAAGGCAGAGTGGGGAAGAACTATTGGGAAGCAGAGCAGAGGGGAGTTTGGTCCTGCTGAGTTGTTTGTGATTCATTATAGCACAACCATCCTCAGGGCTCCATGTTCTTCCTATCCATTACCCACTTTTTTTTTTTTTTTTTTTTTTGACACAGATATCCTTTCTTACTGCACAGCTTTGTTCCAACTTCTCTTCTACAGACAATTCCTTCTGACAGGATAGATTCATTTCATTTGATGCAGGAGGAAGGGTAGGAAAATACCAGTGAAGGGCGACAGACTTTCCTTCTTTTGCACACCTGTAAATTATCATTCCTTTTCCTGACCAAAACTGGTTTGCTATGAAAAAAAAAAAGGATAATCACAATGGAAAGCACTCATGCATCCTCACGGGATTTTGTATTTACTACTTATATTTTTGGAAAATATCACTTATCCTAAGTATACTGGTCACTGCTAGTATTATTAAAACATAAATCGTTATTACTTGTCATTGTTTTTCATTTAACTATGTGCAGCCTTGGTAGCTAAGGGTCCCTACAAAAAGCACATGCTTCAGTGTCTCCACCAAACATGCAACGTGTTGACTCCAACTAGTCCAGTCCTAAAGAACACATTTAACTGGCCATGCTGCCAATAAGAGAAAAATTACAGAATCACAGGATGGTTGAGGTGGGAAGGGACCTCTAGAGATCATCTAGTCCAACCCCTAGACATCTAGAGCACGTGGCACAGGGCAGCATCCAGACAGATTTTGAAGACCTCCAGAGCCTCTAGTGAGGCTAGAGGCCAGCCTCTAGAGAGCCTCTAATGGCTCTCCCGATGGCCTTCTCTGCATCCCTTTCCACGCACTATTTAACAGAATTCCAGCATCACAGAATGATTGAGGTTGGAAAGGACCTATAGGGATCATCTAGTCCAACCCCCCTGCTCCAGCACGGACACCTAGAGCACAGGGCGGCATCCAGGCGGGTTTCGAAGACCTCCAGAGAAGGAGACTCCACAGCCTCCCTGGGCAGCCTGTTCCAGGGCTCTGTCACCCTCAGAAGTTCTTCCTCATATGGAGATGGAACTTCCTGTGTTTTAATTCATACAAATTACACCTTGTCCTCTCACTGGCCAYCATCAAAAAGAGTTTGGCCCCATCCTCCCTACCCTTCAGGTATTTATACACATTGATAAGATTCCCTTTCAACTTTCTCTTCTCCAGCCTAAACAGGCCCAGATCGCTTAGTCCTTCCTCATACAACAGATGGTCCAGTTCCTTAATCATCTTGGTTGCCCTCCGCTGGACTCTCTCTAAAAGCTCCTCATTCCTCTTGTCCTGGGGAGCCCAGAACTGTCCCCAATACTCCAGGTGCGGCCTCCCCAGAGCTGAGCAGAGGGGCAGGATCCCCTCCCTTGACCTGCTGGCAGCACTCCTCCTGATGCAGCCAGGATCCCATTGGCCTTCTTGGCCACGAGGGCACACTGCTGTGTCATAATCAACTTGGTATCAACCACAGATGGACACCAAATTCTCACAACCTAATAATCATAGAATCATAATGGTTAGAAAAGATCTTCAAGATCATCAAATAATAAAGACTTAGGTATAACTGGTGGCCCACTAGAAGCGCTGGCGCTGAGATTAACCTGCAAAATACAGTAATGACCAGGCATTAATAAATTGTAAACTACCACAAGGCTGTTTTTCCTCTGTTCACTGACCTCCCTCTGTGTCGAACGGTCTTTGAAGGCTTTGAAGAAGTCTTGGACTTGGGGCTGGGCACATCTCCATTTTCAGATGGGGTAGTATCCTTAATAGGTCCTGGTAAAGGAGCTGGCTCATGGATAATCAGGATTTCATCTTTATTATGCTGGCCCAAATGCTGCTTAGCAAAATCAAAGCCTTTCACATTGGGGGCCTGTAGCTGTGAGAGAAGAATAAAGACCAAAACAAAATAAAACAAACAAACAAACAAACAAAAAAGAACCATGAGTGAGGATGAATAGGAATGCCCTTGTGAAGATCTGCAAACAATGGCCACTAGGATGATGGTCAGGACATGGTGCTCTCAGGAATGAACATAAGAGGGTTGGAAGGAAAAGAAAACATGAGCTGTCTTCTTCTTTCAGTAGTTGGTATTTAGTTTACAAGTCCTCAGCARCAAATCTAGTGAAAAAAAAATGGCCTTCTGTTTCCTCCACATTTCCCTTTCTTAGCAGTTTCTTCAGATTTAATGTTGTGGGAGAAGCTTTTTGTATAAATACGGATGCAAGGGTATACACAGGTGTGTACAGACTGAAGCAATTGCCATCGCCAGGCCGTCTTTTCATTTGTTTTGTTCAAAATGAGTGAATTTATTTTAAATAGTTTAAATAGGTCGCTGCTGTCTTCTTCATTCTGAACACACAAAAGGTTAGTTGATCTGAGGAAAGAAAAACATTCTGCAGATCTGAGTTACAGGGCAGCCTGGCAATGACTTTTCAGCCTGCACGGCTGTCTCCAGGAGAGCAGTCAAGATCCAGCTCTTAGGAGCTTCATACTGCAGAAGACTTTCCAGGTTAGAAAATAACAGATTTTTATTGTAGGCATCTTATTTAGGACTATGGATTCCATTGGAGTCTTGCTAAAAAAGAATACTTAGAATTAGGCCTTTCGCTTTCATAGCCTTTTTTTTTGTAAAATAGYTAATCTCGTGCTTTCTAATCAGATTTAATTGCATTAAGCCTAGAAGTGTCAAATTCTCCTGAACATTTTTTGGGCTTCTGCAAAACTAGTGGATTTTCTTCATGTCATATTCATTTTTTAAGTAGTTTGGAAGTTGAAGGTGGAAAGAAATCTTGACAAGTCCAGTTTTAAAAGCGCATGCACATATCGTCACTGCACAGCGTACACAAAAAACCCTCTGTGTGCTCCTACAGCTAATTTCCTGCAAAGTGATGCATGTGTTGGAGTGTGTTTATGGGTGCGTCGGATTCCAGATGTTTATATGAACCCCCTTTCATAAAGTTTGGCATGCTGACATAGCTAACTACAAACAGGCTCGTCTGATATCATGCCAAAGATAAGCTTGCCTAGGGAATATTCTGAAACAATTTCTTCAAAATATTTTCTCAGCAAGCAAACATTTTCCAAACGCTTCTTAGAAAAGGACTTGCAGAGGAGTGAGCTGCCTAGCTGCACCAGTAGATGGCAATAAAAGCTCTCCTGTAAAAAACAAGAATTATCAGGATGGTTGAGGTCTTGGAGCTCATTTTTCACAGGATGAATAAGCTTATTATTTGAACAGATGATCTGGATGTCTTCCACTATATTCCATTTTCCATGGGCTTTACAACAGTCCCTTCAATTCACTCTTCTGGGTGACTCAGTTAYTGAATTTATGTAAATCACTGCAACCTCTAATTCTAGAAGGCACTGTTGATTTAGACCAGGTGAAGATTAATTGTTTCTTTATATCCTGAATCAGAGCCACCTAGTGAATCCCTCTTGAAACTTATTCCCCTCAAGGTTTAAATATTGCATTCATGATCTTGCTCACTTAAAGAAATCCATAATGTTTGCCATTCACACACACCCTTCCCTGTTCTCCTTTATACATTCTCATCCTCTTCGGAGTGGACTCATTTCATCTAAGTTCTTAAGCACATCCCTTGAATCATCTGCCTTTTTTGTGTCTTCTCCCCATGCTTCCCCAGCCCTCTTGATTAACATCACTTGTCACTCTTGAAACTAGGAAGGATAAGGATAGACTTGAGGTCCGAATGTTAGGCAAGGAAGAGGCTGTTAAGACACCTTAGGTCAAAACYCTTTTACTGGAAGGAAAGCCAAGGTGGAGAGAGACAATTAAAGGCAAAGGTTGTAATTGGCATGGCCAAAAAGGTTAAGACAAAGGATATAGATTAGAAGTAAGTGATGTTAATCAACTGCAGAAGACTTAACCTTCCTTCTTAATCTTCAGCTTAATTTGTATAACCCTTCTCTTTCCAAATTTTCTTCCATTTCTTAGTTTATCCACTGTGTTCTCTATTTCATGTAGGACTAATCTCCTTTCTTCCCAGTCTCTTGTAATCTACTTCTCTCTTCATATCTCATCTCTCTGTCAYTCACCTGGCTTTGATGAAATACCAGTAAGAATCTAGGAGAACCTTCCTTCAACTTATATATATTTTGTTTTTAAGAATTCTATAGCCTTGCTTGCTCTGCTGCAGGTCCTCCATGATAACTGCCAATTTAAGCTTCAAAAAGATAATGCTAACTCCCAGTCTTTCATCAAAATCCTCTCCCCTGACTCTTAATAGCACATCATCTTCATCTTAGGAGTTATGAGCTCATTTTTTTCCTTTGAGCTCCATTCCTTTTCTCYAAAACAGTTCTGAAGTAGAAGCTTTCATTTTTGCTTTCAAAATCACCATGCAAGCTTGCACCACCTTCCGTTTTGATTACTGGATCTTCCTTTGTAAGTAGCCCCACCTCTATCTCTGACCTATTTAGAACATTATTCTTTTCTGTTTGAAGATGATTCTGYGTATGACATTCTCCCTGTGTACCACTTCAGTGGTTCCCCTTCTTCTAACCCTTTTCATACTTTAACCTTCTCAGCTGTAAAGCCCTGCCTCTTACTCCCAGTTACCACATTGTGTATTTCACTGACTTCTCTCTCCCCAAGCCTCTTTTGCTCCATCAACGATGAGGGACTTCACAGGGCGCTGGATAAAGTTCTTCCACAGAAAATCCGGTGCTTCTTCCACTCCTCTTCAGCACCCTTGAATTGACCTGCAAAGTTACTACTCCTTTTATAACAGTGTCATGAGACTGGGTGTAGGGGGGAGCAATGAGCACGACGACACACAACAATCACCCTAAAAAAGACAAATGTGCTAGTAATGTTGGAAGTCATAGCATGACTTTACCACAATGGATGGCACACGCAGTGGCTAAATTAAAATTGCTGAGTGTCTCAAGCATACATTTCAACATACCTTCGAGCTGACTCTAAATTCCTGGGTTTGTAAAACCTTTGGGGGAGTAAAACAACATTATTTTTTTAAACATCTTTAAACTTTGACAGCAGAGTCCTATTCTTAGCTGCAATCTAATGTAACCTTTTGTCTAAGAGCACTTACAGAAACAGATACATTTGTGTGTACATCTACATATACGTAACAGCATATGTAAGCACAAATGTTTATCTGCAGACAGACCACACAGAAGCTGTATTAAAAGTCTGTTAGTACTACAAAGGCAAACACTTAGATTCTAAGAAATGGCACAGTTAGGATTGTCTGAACAGTCACAATTGGATCTCTTCATGCCTCACAAGCAATTTTAGCTGTATTGTCATATATCTACTTCTTCCTTCTTACTCTCTTCTACCCTGCTTGATCCTTGGCATAGGCTGAGCCTTCTTCTATTGGTCAAAATTGGGTAGAACACAAGGATGTCATTTGTAGAACTAGGACACCTATATAGGTTCGTGCAAAAATTGTCCAACGTGAATGATGCAGGAGGTGTAGGAAGATAAAAGTTTGTTTTCTTTTGTCAAATGTGCAACTAGCATGGCCAAGATTTTGCCAGCGGATTTCATGGATATTTGCTGCCAACAGAGGAATGGCAAACCTCGGATACCACTGACTCTACCCCAGAGCACAGAAGAGCTCACCCCACACATCACAGAACCTGCAACTCATTTTTCCTAGAGTCTCAAGCAGGTTRATTCCTTAGTGTTCCTTGCCAGGCAGATCCAACCTCTCCATCCCACTTTCTTGCCCCTCTCCCCTTCTCTCTGCCAGCTGCCAGTCCCACTTGACATCACTCAGTGGCTTGCAGGCCAGCTCTGGCAGACCAGCAAGAACAGAGTCTCCTTGCTCTCTGCTTATTCATTTGTCTTCATTGCAATCCTTTTCCTCTTCTCTTTCAGGGTACAACTCTATACCCTCAACCCAGGTGGAACCTTAAGAGAATTTAGGTGGCAACTTTAACAAGACCCTGCTGCACACACACARGTTTTCTCCACAATGGTTTATGGTCAGAAAGAGGCAGCTCACCACAGAGCTGGCAAAAGCAACTCCCTTGCCCCCAATAACCTTGTGGACCCTCCTCCCTTCCTTCCCTCCTCTGCACCCATAAAGTCAGAGAAGTTGCACTAGAGCATTTCCAATTTTCTAAGAGTATTTTTTAAATTTAGACAACGAAATATATTTTCTCTTAACTTTGCTATTGGAAAGAAAAGTTGTTGTTCCTAAAAAATGATTCCATATGAAACTAATATCAGAACTTCTGCCTGAATGATTCAAATCCGGCAAAGTCATGTACAGCTGTATAATAAGACTTCATGATGCTTCCTACTAAAAAAGCTTTAGTAAAATTGGCATTACCAGCTCCAATCAATATATAGATGTATAAGACGTATAGATGTGTGCATATGTGTGTACAGATGAAATACACATGAATAAAAATATAGTATCAAAAACACATATATTTAAAAATATGACATGAATATAGATTGTTCTCAATACAAACAGACATAAATAACTTTAAAATAATGTCTATTATTTGAGATAAATCTAGAAAGAGTAACACAGTCTTGGCTGTAGAAATAGCATCATTAAGACCCCGCTGAATTGATTTCTTCCTCTTAAAACAAGTTTCATGCTGCCATGGACTGGAGGGCCACTGCTCAGCTCAGCACTCCCTGACCAGGCATTTCCCAGGACAACCGGCCACCAAGGCAGGCCCAGCACACCGGGTGCTGATACTGCTCTCTTGAGGCACTGAGAGAGAACCACAAGTSGCTTTACCAAAGAATGCACATGGTCAATGCTAGCAACACTTGTTTTAAATGTAATTAGTTCAACAGGGCTTTGATTTGTTGTATTTTTAAATAGACATTTGTGAAAGAGAAAACTTACAACTGCTATGAGGTTGACCTCCAACATGAGCATGTATGGACTAACGCATGCAGTGCTTGGGGAAATCTAAGGGGGCAAAGATATTAAACTGGTAGGTCAAGTCAGTTTTCTAATTCTATAGTTAGGTACTGAATTTTTAAAAAAGCTCTGAAACTCAGTTTTAGAAAAAGCAAGTGATTTCTGCAAAAGCCAACAGACATCAAGTGTGTGTGCCTCGGTAAACACTTATTCCATGATCGCAGCTAACAGTTCTCAGTACTGTCTACATCACAGAAAAACTACATGGCTGCCAATATATTGTTTTCCTAGATGCAGATGCATGCCATGAATGACAACAATTTGTTTTCTCAAGGCAGTAAAGGCTGCAGGTCAGTGAATAGTTTCCGTAGAAAGCAGCAGAAAAGAAGAAATTCACTTACTCAGCATTCTTCCTGTGGCTGCTCTAATTAAATGTTTAAGTTGTTTTCCTTTGGTACAGTTTATTTATTTTTCAGTTTTTTAGGAGTAGCAACAGCATTTGAATTTGGACATAACATGAAGAATAATGTAGCACAGACTATTTTCTATTGATATTACATTTTTTTTGTAGTGACAGAAGCACTGAGCAGACGCTGTTAAAATCCATTTTTAATGAAACATAGGAGCTAAGTATGATTTCAAAGATAGTATTTTAATGTTGGCATATAAGCTATGAGCAGGACTGGAATCCTTGTAAAGAAACCCTGCTGACTTATGGATTTATTTAATGCTAGTATGAGGAATTCTACATGAGAAGATAAAGCAACTTAATAGACAAAAAATGTTTTAACACCTACTAATTTATATGTAACAAGGAAGTGAGAATCAGCGTGCTTAACACCAACAGGTGCCGAAGCCCTACGCAAGCGTYCTCACTGAGACTCCTTAAAACTATTAGATTATGGAAGGAAGTTTCCTAGATGTCACATTCACAGCATCAAACACATCTCTGCACTCCAAGAACCCCAGTGCTCAGGGAAGCACAAATACACTGGGCTACTTTCATGATGCACGGGTAATGTTAAATATTTGCAACTGCTACAGCCTTGTTATTTCTAACTCACTTGTTGGAGCATGTCCCTACTAACCCCTCTGAGGTATCGACTACTTCTTGCTCCCATAGGGATTGTCCTACCAGGTTCTCTGCAGTGACTAACAGTCGAGGTTTTAAAACACCTATTAATAAATAAGATATAGAACTGGTGAGGCATGTTCACCTTGCCCTTTCAGTCTCATTTTATTATTCAGCTTGTTATTTCATTCCTACCCCATATGCCCAAACTCTTCATGGCTCCATTTCTACACAAAATCCTTTGGGATCATCATCAGGGACTGTCTGTGAGTTATGCAAAATAATTATACACAAACACACACACACACACACACACACAGTGTTTGGATTCAAAAGCAATAATACATGTGAAATTAAAGGTACAAGAGACATGCCGGTCAAAAAGTATGTTAAAAGATGACATAGAAACCGAGCTGTGTCTCCATAGCTGTTCCTCCTAGGAAGAGCAAGAGGAGGTCATTTGTATTTTGAGGCCTTTTTGTGCTGCAGACACAGCTTGCCTATGAAAACAGGATATGATTCAAGAAGGACTCACAGCTGCTGGCCTAGGAGAAGACACTTACCTGGAACTAAAACGATTTCTAATTTTTAAATGCCTCCACTTGGAAACGATGTATATTAGGAAAAGTTTGCCTTCAGGCAGTTCATTGTATCATTCTTGGGGTGGGAGATCATCAGCCTCCCATTATGACTGTGCCCTGTATGGCAAATTTTAGYTGAAAACTGCAAGTTTTTCAGCTCTGAGGGCCAACGGAGTTGTACATGCAAAACACTTTTGTGTCTCATGTTGTGCCACCTGTCTCTTGCTACAGACTCCTCCTAGCTCCTTCCACAGCAGGACTTCCTTTAACTCCCACAGCTATGGGGAAGAGCTCAGGCAGCTCAGCCAACACGTCCGTGTGGAGAAGGGCCGCGCTCACGGTTGCAGTGGGTTCTACTACCAAACCTGGCGAAAGTGGAGCAGTGGATCAGCAGAATTGCCGTAGAAAACTAGGAGAACAAGCTTCTAGAAAAGCTAGCATGCATCACCTGGTCCTTCTCTCATCCTCCCCTGRAAAAGCAAAACTGGGGTTGCCAGCTCACCACTGTACAAATACTGAGAACGAATCCTGCAAGAAGTACCACCTAAGGAATTTTTGCCCCAGGGGTATGATCAAAAGCAAATAAAGAAACCCATAAATTTGCAAGAACTTCATAAAGCCTGAAATCCCTGAAGACTCCTATTCTGGAAGAGTTTCTTATGAGAGATTCCTTGCAGTAGTTTTTCATCCTCTCCATCCTTCTCTCTGCATTTCTTCTTGCCACATTTACGTTACTGTGACAGCTCAGTAAATTTGACAAAATACAAGAAGGATCATGTTATAAATTAAGAAAATCTTCTTAATTTGTGAAGCACAAAGATACTTTTCATAAGAGGGCTCTTGCTGTCTAGAGTGAGCACGTACATGACACATTCCAGAAACACCTTCTCTCCACAAGTAAGGAGGAAAGTGCTAACAAACTTTAAGATAGAGCACAGATAARCTATTTTAATTTATTTTTCAGTTATTTTGTTGGGCTCAGGGCACAAAAGTAACCCTGTGGTCTTGTAACTCAAACATCTATCTATCTAAAAAGTGCTTACAGCAAACAACATTTAAACACTCAGACATACTGAAGAAAATCTACTTGCTCACATGTAGCGACAGGGATTGTTTTTTTTCTGTCTTCCTCATGTTCCTCATTATCAGTGACTACTCTAAAACTAAGGAAAATCTGTTGCTCACTGCAGGCCCAGGAATCCTTTCAAATGATGCTGCCGCTTCATGCMGGGAAGATCAGGTGAATGAATGAGCCACCTGTCTCTGTTTGGGCTCCGTGGCTGCAAAAGGCTTYCAGTGACTTTGTCACTTTGCTACAATCACAATGTGAACTGCAAAGTATTTTTAGTGAAATTTCTCACTATTCTGCAACCAGGGAACAGGAACATTAAAAGCTTCGGCAACAGCGATTTGACACAAGCTCATTTCCTCGGTCT